GGGTCATATGATTGTTGGGTTTTTCTCTGTATCTATGAAGCGCCTTGAGGCGACTTATGTTGTGATTTGGCGCTATATAAATAAAATTGAATTGAATTGGTTTATTTTAGGGGCTTAAATCGACCAAATAGTTCTGGTTCATCGCATCTAATTGCTTTCAGCCGTGACGGCGACGTTTCTACGCGTGCATTAAAGAGAAGGAGTGATGGACCGCTGTCCGTCTGTTGCGATGAAAACAAAGTGGTATCCCTTTATTTTGTGGAGCGTTTTATCACTTGGCCTTCTAAGCTCTGCGGCGGACACGTATGACTCTCCGCTTACGAGAAGGAAAGTGGTTTTCAAACTGGGCGCTCCGAAAATCAAACTTCCATTAGCTGAAGACAGAGAATCCAACCAGAGGCTACCTGCCGACACACCTCCAGAGCCTCAGCTGGGTTACCGAAGGTCCTATTCCGCTTCAGCACCTGTGACACTTGGACCCATGCGACCAGGGAAACCCGAGGCAAAGATCCAGTCAGACTTTGCTTACCTCCCGGACGTCTCTGTAACCTGCTCCACATCTGACTTTGTCGTCAGGACCAAACCAGCTTTCTACGGTCTGGGCGCAGAAGCAGAGGAACTGTTGTTAGGCAGCAGTTGTAAAAGCAACGGGCTTCTTAGACCATACGGCGACCTTCTTTTCTCGTATCCACTGACCGCCTGTGATGGCGTACGTGAGGTAAGCTATGGGTGGTGCTCAATCCCTCTCTCGCTGCATCTGTCATCTTGTATTGACACTTTCTGACCTTTCCTGACAGATGCCCCCCGGTTATCTGGTTTATAAATTCGTGCTCCATTATGAGCCGTCGCCAAAACGATTTCCAAGCAGAGCGCACCGGGTGGATGTAGATATTGAATGCCGCTACCCAAGGTTAGGCATGTTGGTTTGCTTTATACAGAAGGTGTGCGAACACTTAGTCAGTGTTGAAAGCTTCCAAATCGTCTGCCCTCCACAGGAACCATCATGTGCACCAACTGGCTGTCCAACCAACCTGGGAAACAGTTGTTTTCCGTAAAAGGCTGAAAAGTCGTCACACGGACTACCAGATTACCCTGATGGATGGTATGGGTGTCTGCATTATGCAGCAGAACAGACTTTGGCAGATCCTAAACAGCTGGGTACTTGTGTTTCACATTCAACGTGTTTCACATTTGTAGATTCATGGAGTAGGCCGGTCACCACTCGGGTCTACCAGCTTGGGCAAAAGGTTCATATCCAGGTTTCTGCTCCTCATCTGCCTGCTGGAGGAAAACTCTACATACGTAGCTGCTATGCAGCTCCATCTAGTGGCTCTAGATCGTCCCTGAAGTACTTCATCATAGACAACTTTGGGTATGTAGTGTGGATAGTGACCTGATTAAACTAAATGTGGAGAAAAAGAGTGAATCTGTGACGAATGTGAGATTTAGAAAAAGCTACATATTTAAATTTTTGGGTTTTTACTCCATATTGTTGTCATTGATGTTTGCAGCTGTATGCTGGACAGCAAGGGAGACCTGGGGACCTCTGAGTTTGTTTCCCAGACAGATAGGACTGTGAGACTTTCCGTGTTGGCTTTCCAGTTTACTGCTGATCCAAACACTGAGGTGAGAGTAGACCATCTATGATTCTCTCAGTTTACACAGCTAAGCACTGTGGCATAATCCCGTTTCTGTTTTAGGTCAGTATCTACTGCAGGTTGTTTGTCACGTCAGAGGATCCAAGTCCTGTGCACAAATCCTGCACGTACAGGGGCAACAGGTGAGGAATAATAGGATGCTATACCAGCAGAACTGTAGATTTCCCAGCTGTTTCCAGGGGGACTGTTAATACATATGCTATAACAGGTGGAGGGCGCTTACTGGTGATGACTCCATATGTGAATGTTGTGAGTCCCGGTGTGTGACTCCTAAGCCCCGGAGGGCTATGATGGAAGGTCTGTAACAATCTCATTATTATACCTTTTAATTTAAGATATTCAGCATTTTGCATCGACTGTTTGGGAATTGCAGACATTTTTACACATAGCCGTCAATTTTCAGAGGCTCAAAGATGACAAACGAATATAATTTGAAATATAAAGATGTTTTTCTTAATTAATTGGATACAAATCGTTTGCAGTTGGTGATTGAGAAGGCCTGGCAGGGGATTCACTTAATGTTCTGCCGCTGACACCTCTGGATTTCATTTTTTGAGTTCCAGTGAACAGCTACCAAATACAACTTCAAGCTTTAAATCCTAACTAGCTGATACAATACTTTTGTTAAATGATTAAAATTACAGCTGAAAGTGTACAATTTAAATAGTTTTTTATATATACATGTGTTTAAAACCCCACTATGATGGTGTAGCAAGGTAAAATTACAAATGTGTCATTGTCCAAATAAATGTATGGACTTAACTGTGTATTCAAAAATCGAATATACAGTCATGGAAAACTGTAAAACATCCAATTGTATACGAACATTAAATCTGTTAGTCAGTTAAAAAATTAAAATTACTTTTTGTTGTTGTTTGTAAGGTTCTGCCAGCAGTGGGTCATTACTGGTGTCGGATCAGTCGTACACAGCAAAGGACCAGTTTCTACCAGTCAGCCTCCCTCTGGACAGCATAAGAAAACAACAGAGGACCACAAATCGTTACAGTAATGAGACGCACAGCCGGGACAGGTTCTTGGGAAAAGCAGTAAAGTATAATGATGATGGTGAAGAAGAAAGTGGAATTGCATTTGAAGCGATTACGGGACTTAATTTAGATGGTTTTGGGGAGAGGGCCTTAAAGGGCAAGTGGAATGAATCTGAGGTGAAGCGTTTAGATAAGTTGAGGGAGGAGGAGTCACCGTATGGAAAAAAGGATTCAGATGAGAGAAGTGAAAATGAAGTTTATAATGTAGAGCAAGCGAACGATCTGAATCAGAAGGAAAGTGAAAGGATTAGTCACTTGGAGCAGTTGCCACTGTCGAAGATTGATGTACAGCCACCTGATTCTAGAGATGAGGGAGGAAACGGGACACATGGAGGGAAGGAGGTGGAGGTTGAGGAGAAGGGGTTGACGTCATACGAGGTGCAGTTGAAGAATGAGAGCAGGACAGCAGATGCAGAAGATGGCGGGGAGATGACGTGGTATTTTTTTTGGAGGTAGTGTTTGATCAATTAATCAAGTATACTGCCTTAAGACTGGAGCTCTGCATAGTCTGACTCATTTCAATAAAATGTGAAAATGAAATCAACTGACTCTTGTCATTCATGACTTCACACAACAAACATTGTTTCATTTAAAAACCGTTTCCATTCTAGGAACGTACACTGCACAGAAAAATGAAAGGAGCACTTCTTAATCAGAGAACAGCATCAGGTCTGTTAAAGTTCTGGGGTACTGAAGTTTAACTGAGTAGCAGAGAGGCTCAGCTGCTTTGAAATTAATAGCAGGTGCACTAGAGGGGCAACAATAGGACAACCTCCAAAATGCGGATAGTTTTACAGGTGGAGGCCACTGAAATTATTATTATTTTTTTCCCCCTCATCTTTGTCTTGTTTCACTAGGTTCTGTGTCACTAGAGGTACCACGAGGAAATACCAGGGCCCTACAGAGGCTGCACAGGATGTACAACTCCTCCAGGAGAGCACATCAATATGTGCTATTGCCAGGTTTGCTGTGTACCAGCACAGTCTCAAGAGCACTGACATTCCATCGGTCCTTAACCTACCAGCAGGACCATTAGCTGCACCTCTACAGGCTAGGCAACAGCACCCTGACTGCCATTAGGTATCACGATGAAGTCCTTGGACCCACTGCCAGAACCTACGCTGAAACAGTGGGTCCATCTGTGATGACGTGCATACAAACTACTAAGTGTCCATTATGAGTTGCTGCAATGAAATTTTGGCAAAATGGACCAGCCTGCTGCATAATTTTCATTGTGTCTAAACAGTTGACCCTGAAGTAAAACAATGCAAGGAAAAAAAAAAAAAAGATGGGCAACACAGTATTTTAGTTTATCGATGAATCTTTAATTTTTCTTTATAAATGGTGATTCTTACAGTTGTCTGCAAAACCAGTTTGAAATATATTATAGTTCAATACAGAAATATCCCACAGTTTAAGCCATAACTGGGAAGAAAGGCATTGCCTCCATTATCTGTAACTAAAAAGCAGCAGAAAATGTGCACTATAATCATTCTAGTGTGTGATGTGTCTGTGTGTGGGATCTAAAATATAAATTTGCATGCTTGTAGAGCTACGCAACAGACTGTTTTATTATGTCATTCTTTAGCAAACATGGCAAAGAAGACTTTGTCTGTAGAGGTCATCCTCTAAATGTGACAGAAAAAATAACTTAAGATAATTAATAGTATTTGGAACAAATACAATTAGTGTGGAAACTTTTGGAAAAGATACAGAACATAACTCTGTAGAAGAAATCCACCATTACTGGATATGTTAAATAAACATAATGCTGCTATATTTACAGATGAGTGCCCAAAAGTCCCATTGTTCCAAGTACTGACTAAAGGATTGATTCAGCAGGACATAAGTGGTACAATCACTATTTGAGACTAGAGGATGACAAAGACCCTCTGGTAAAGAAAATATATATCTCTTTATAAAATGCAAAATGAGCTCTCAAGAAAATTAGGACCCACACCATTAAATTCAAACAACTCCAAAACCTTAAAAAAAGGCAGTTTCTGAGTGAAGCATCTCATCCATCCATATCCAGTTGCAGAGGTCTCCTTCAGTCTTTATAATCATGTTTATGACGACCCTCCTTCAACAGTACCAGCTGTTCCATTTGTTTTCTCTGCAGCATCTAAAGTTGGAAATGTACACAGAGTTGGTTTGTCTACATCCAAAAGAATTGTACAGAAAAAAATATTTTAGCTATTTAGGCAGGTAGATGGCAGTGTTAGCTGTTTGGTGCAAACTGGGAAAACATCTCAAGTACTCAATGGCTGGGCATCATAATCTCAAAACATACATTTCCCCCTGAAAAACTATTATTTGTTGGTCTGTTAAATACTTTACCCACATTACCATCAACGGATCTGCTGTAGTATGTTTATTGCCCACTGCTTAGCAAATGTTAGCATAGCATGTGGCTAAGCTATAGCATAAAGTTAATATGAGAAACTGCTGGGAAACAGCATGTGAAGCGCTGATCACTAAACTGAGTAAAAAGGCTTAAAATTTGCATTGCGTTTGACCCGTTTCTTTATCTGTACTGTCTTTTTTTTGTTTTGGGGGCTTTTCACACCCACTCATGATCTTTATGTGCACGACATGCACCACATCTGGTCACTCTCTTTCTATTTGTCATGTGTTGCATGCCTTTTTAAAAAATCGGGGCTGATATACATTACCTTTGATACTTTCCTGCTGCGCTTCCTGTCTTGCAGTTTGGTCCACATCTCCACTCGTCTCAACCTCGCTGCCCCTTGTTTTGGGTTTCTTTGCAACAGGTGGTGGCACCTTGGCTCCCTTATTCATAGACTCTGCTTCACTGATCACCTTCTGTACATCTTCCTTGGCCACCAGCATTGGCTTGGTCTCAGTCACAACATTCCTGTTGCTCTTGGAGAAGATAAAGCTTGCAGTGCTGCTGGGGGACTTGTGGAGGTCCAGTGGTGACGTTGGAGGCTGCAAGCTGAGGCGAGACGCTGGACTTTGTTGAGATCTGGCTGCTGTCCTCATGCGGATGGCTTCCTGTAGGTTCATGGAACGGGTAGTGTTCACGGCAGAATAAGCCTTTTTCGTAGGGGAGGTGGCTATGGACAAAGATGAAGGAGGAACCACGTCAGCTTGGGACTTGGGCACAGTTGGTTGCGAAGGGTCTGTTTCCGGTGGAGGAATGGGTGTAGAAGAGGTCATGATTAGAGATTTTCTGATGGGCTTCTGAGGAGCCTCACCATTAGCAGATGAGGATGGGAACTGATTGCTGCTTGTGACCTCAGCCTGTGGTTGCTGCTCTTCAGCTTTGGGTGGCTCAGGGCTGCTGCTGACTGACCGCAATTTGACCATCTGCAGGAGGGAAGGGGTGACAATGGGCATAGGTTCTTCTTGCACAACTGGGGTAGAAGTCTGCTCTTGGGTTTTATTCTCTGTGCTTAAAGGAATAGGCTGCTCCTTAATGCTGGCATGCCCCTGAACTGGTAAAGGTGGAGGTACAGGAATGTTTACAGGTTCAGAAGGAGCAAATACTTGAGTCTTTTCTGGTGAAGATGTTTCAGGTGGTGATGGTGGTGGTATTGATACTTCAGATGGAGGTGAAGGTGAGGCCTCCTTTGTTGTCAGAACATCAGTTTTTGGGGCTACTACCTGAGATTGTGGGAGAAGCTCTGTGGGAGGTGGAGGGGGAATATTCTGAGGGGGGATAAGAACACTGTTAGATGAAACTGTGTTAGCTTCAGGTTCAAAGGAGACCTCTTGTAGAAGCTCAATCTTCTGCTCTGATGATTCTGGCTGTGTTGGCAGGGGTGGTGCAGGTGGAATACTTTGTGGTGGAGTGAGCTTGCTGATAGATTCAGCCTCTTCAGAGATATTAGACATATTTTCTTGAGAAGGAGGAGACGTAACCTCTTCAGAGGACGGAGCAGACACCTCTTTGAGTGGCAGATGTGAGACCTCAACAACTACAGGAGGTGAGACGACTTTAGCTGGTGAAGGAGATACTAATGTTAATAAGGTAGAGGAGATGTCTTTAACAGGTGGGGGCACATCTTGAACCACGGGTGAAGGTAGCTTTTTTGGTATTACAGGACCAAACTCTACAGGTGGTGGTGGCGAAAGTGTCAGAGATGCCTTATCAGTTGCAGTAGGCAGAACCTCTGTAAGTGGTGGAGGGGGTGCTGTATATGGTGGGGGAGGAGGGATATTTAAGGGAGAAGGCGCTACCCCCTGAGATGTACTGGACTTGTGAAGTTCAGGCTCCATGATCACTTTAATGATGTCCTTTTTCACTACTGATATAACCGATGCAGTCGTGCAAGAGGAGTCACTCCTGAGGGAGGACTTTGGTGGAACCTGAACAGGTATAATGGGTGAATCATCACCAAACAGTGGAGGTGGAGGAAGAGGAAAATCTATTTCATCTGGCCCACTGGGGCTACCTGATGTTGGTGGTGGTGGAGGGGGCCAGGAAGATTCGGGGGATACAACTTTTACTGATGTAATGGAATTGATTTCTGTGGTCTGTCTGGGGAGGGGCTGGGAAACACGTTGCACCAGAGGAGGAGATAGCGCTGGGGAAATGTGAATTAATGAAATGGCAGGTGCTCTATCAGTGTTAGTCTTTACCTCTGTAGCTTGGCCGGTTGTTTTATTAGCTGCTTCTTCTTTTATTGCTGCAAGTCTTTCTTCTCGTCTCTCTACAGCCTTCATTAGCATTCCATTCAGCATATCACTTACTCTCCCTTTCTCATCTTTACCACGTCCATTCAAATCTACATTCTGAGCCAGTCTTTCATTGCTATCTTTGCAAATCTCTGCATTCAAAATCCCACTTTCTTGAACTTTCTTCAATTCTAGCACATGTAGGGATCCATTAACAGACTCTGTCGTCACTGATGGATTTTTGTGCTTTCTTTCTACTGCCAAGCTCTTAGCCAACTCCTCAGCAGCTGCAGGAGACTGCCTCTGTTGTCTCCGGTCCTTCGGGTTCTTCTTTGCAATAGCATAAGTCTTGCCAGGGGCTGGGGGTCCCAGGATCAGCTCACATGAACGCAAACTATGGGACCATACCTCAGGTGGAGGAGGTGGAGGTGCATGGATTTTAGGTGGTGGAGGGATATTGAAAAGTTCTATCAAGGCCTGTACAGAGGGACTGACAGTGTCTTTTGAATCAGCTTTATGTTCCTCAGTGCACTTATTATATTTAGATGACTCTGACTTAATTGAAGAGGATCCAGCAAATACTTTTTGAAGCTTTGCTAAAATGCTGTTCTTATGCTTTGGAGATGAACCGTTAGCTTGTTTAGTGAGCTGTGGGGATGTGCCATCTTGGCTGGAGTTGCCACTGACATTGTTTAGCTTATTCTCCTCAAGCAGTTCCCGCTTCTCTTGTGAAGCATCTTTCGATCTTTTGATTGCCTGCAGCTGAGTTCTAAAGGGACCGACTGACGAAGAGCCCATTGAATCATCCAGAGAACTGGTGTCAGCATTGTAGCCAGGGCTGTCCAGAGTCTTGGAGGGATGAGAGTCAGATTGGTTTTGGTCACTTTTCTCACTTG